ATAGAAAAGAGCAAAAATGAAGCAAATTCAAAGTTCGAAGACTAAAATGTAAATACTCAAAAATTATTTCGAACCTCACGAAGAATATTTGAGAGTGCTCGGGTCAATTGGATGAGTAAAGAAGTCAACGGGATGAATTATGGTCAAAGTATTATCATACATCAACTTTCAACCGAAAAAGTTATGCTTCAAATTTTCAGCCTCATATTAAGACCCAATTTTGGCATAACAAACATTTTGAACTGGAAAAATAATATATAAGAAGAATTGTAACCCTCTAAGTAATCTTTTGAACACACTTTGAATCACCTCAATTGAATATCAGAAAAGAAAGTTATAACAAAAATATTGAAAGTTGTTTGGTTGTCTAAAATTAAGCAAGACCCGTGCCCCAAAATAAAAAATGAGCAAATGAGGCACCCCATAATATGTTTGTGCACAAATATCCCCAATTTGAGCCCCGTATATATTTTTGAATAGTGATTTATTGGAGGATATGAGGTTTTAAAAAAAAAGTTTTCGATTTGCATGTAAAATAATTTTATAGGAGAATGTGTGGTTGAAAATAAATTTTAAAAAAAATTGAACTTGTTAAAAAAAAAAAAAAATTAGAACCATTTCAAATGTAATATTTTTTTTGGGAAATAAATGTATTGTCGTTATTCTATATTTAATGGAGTGTGGTTATTTTCATTTCGGTTGGTCTATAAACCGCTACATATAAATTGACCGGACTCAATCCAATTAGGTCAGTGTTTAGCCTCTTGATGGCTCGGGTTGGCTTTTGTATCATACTTGAACGTTAAATTCTCGCTACTCGACCCAAGTCACAGCCTCAAACGCTTTAAAAAGAAAGGAAAAATATCTAAAATTTAAAGCTCCAAAATTTAGATCGCCGTCTCACTTAATCAGTTTGGTTGAATCTAAAACCAACCTGACCCGGCCCAATTCTAGTTGGGTTAGATCTGCGATTTGGACTATATATATATATATATATATTCTAAAATTACATCTCACCTTACTTTTGAATTCAATATTCTAAAATCAGTGAGAATGTTTCATTATTCAAAAATCAGATATCTAATATTTAAATATTAATTATTTAATTAAAAACTAATAACAGTATATTTTGTGATTTAAGTGTTTCAAAAAATAAAACTACATCACTTCATTGTATTTTGAAAACCTCTACTTGTAGAAACCGAAAATAAATTTTTTTATCTATTTCATCTTGACATGCTTTGTTAATTTGAGATACTGAGGGACTCATTTAAAAATAAATCTCATGTACTCGAGAGAAAAGTCATTCCGGATAAATTAGGCCTAAGTTATGGTAGTTCAAAGGGAGTCCCACTTTAATTAAAGTAAATAAAGCAATTAAATCATTTGGCAACCACTAGATAAGTTGAATTTGATAAATTCCAGCCAATTTACATACATTGTATCACTTTTTGACTAGGGGACTTGTGTTATATATATATGTCAACTTTGTTAGACTTTAGTTCCCATACTTAATAGAATACTAGGCATACCATAGCTTATGTTTCACGCCATTTTAAGAACTCATCAGTAAAGAAATTCAGAGACCAATTTGATTCTCTTATGTTAGTCATTTTAATATTCAAAAACAAAGGAATTCGATTCAACATAGGACTTCCTCATCATCACAGGTAGTATCCGTAAGTGAAATCTTAGTTACATGAATTTAATTTTCAATTTAGCATGTTATTCGTTATATTTGATGATGAAAGGTTATATATGTTTAGACTGATGGTCGCAAAGGCTTATCAGAACCGTAAGTGTATATGTTAAACTGATAGTCGCAGAGGCTCATCAGATTCTTGAATAGATCGTTTGATCATCGATTTACTTATTTATGATGACAGCGTGTAAGAATGTATTATTAAATATATGATTATTATGTTCATATAACACGTGTAGTTTACTGAGTATTTTTTTGAGATACTCACTCCTATTTAACCATTTTCAAAGTAATCAGAGATCCGACGATGATTTGGCATGAATGGCATGTGCTATTTTTAGAGAAAATTATCTCTTATATTTTCAATTGTCACTTTTATATTTAAAAAACATTGGGTGTCCTTGAGACAGTAGGTTGAATTCTTGTTTTGAGAAGGAAAGGTTTTTAATGTTCATGTGTGTGTTTCTTTGAAGGTTTCAGAAATTTGCCACTATTTTAAAATTTTGTTTTTGGTCGATAAATTTGGAATATTTTAAAATTGTAGTTCTTGAAAGCTTAAAAACTAAACTGATGATAAAATTGTTTCATGGTTGATATAATATTTTATGATGGTTTATTCAGTTAAATTGAGTTGCAACACTGGGGTCAAATAAATTCCAGATTCTGGCTTAAGTTTAAAAGTTCACCCAGATTTAAATACTGGGAATTTTGGGGTGCTTCCATTGGAGACAATAGCCATATGAGTTATCTGTCTCTGGGATTTTGAATCACGAACTTTGGATGTGTAAAATTCAAGTTATGAATGTTTTTTCGAGAGCTGCCAGAAAGTACAAATATTTTAAAATTGTAGTTCTTGAAAGCTTAAAAACTAAACTGATGATAAAATTGTTTCATGGTTGATATAATATTTTATGATGGTTTATTCAGTTAAATTGAGTTGCAACACTGGGGTCAAATAAATTCCAGATTCTGGCTTAAGTTTAAAAGTTCACCCAGATTTAAATACTGGGAATTTTGGGGTGCTTCCATTGGAGACAATAGCCATATGAGTTATCTGTCTCTGGGATTTTGAATCACGAACTTTGGATGTGTAAAATTCAAGTTATGAATGTTTTTTCGAGAGCTGCCAGAAAGTACACAAAAACAAATAGATTTGGATTTGAAAATAAATTTTGACCAATCTATCGATTGAGTTTGTACACAAAATTTTAACCTGAACTTCTCCTAGGTGTAAAGTGTCTATAGTTTTAATTTCTTACATTTTGGATTTCATTTAGTTGTCAAACGAGATTTATTTCAGAAAGTCGTATAAGCTGAAAATCTAAACTTTCCGAAAGAAAATTTCTTAAATTTTGTAACAGGTTCTCTAAAGCCTTGATGCTTTTAGTACAAGTCGATTTCTACATTTTATGAACTATGTAGGTAGGGTTTTATAAATTTAAGGTCATTTTAATGTCATGAGTTTCCTAGACCTCAGGGCATTACACTACCTACGTTCATTTTTCACCGATTCGATAAATTGCACGACCCACAAAACAACTGTTCATTTTTTCACCGTTACTTCTCCGATGAACTTGTGATCGCTGTTGAAGCACATTGTTTTCTCAACATATAAACATCGATCTATTTTCTATTCCTCTATGTGAAAGTGGTATATCATAAACTCAAAGATATACCATGAGATTTACTAGATTCTCACTTTCCAAGTTATTTTTAGTGACCAGGCTCAGATATTTTGGTAATGACGATACTAATAGGCTAGAGAAGAGTCCATCATGCTTGAAAAATAGATAATTCAATATGTTGAAATTTGTGACACATGGAGATGTCAGGGAAGCATTTCTTGTTGCGAGTAACATTCCAGGTGAGGATGTTTCTATGCTTGGTGATAATGTAGTTTCTACATTTATTACGGATCCTAAATGATGATGTTTTATTATTCTTTGGATGGATTGATATCTAATTTGTTATTTATTGCTTTTAGTAGAAAAAAAATTCATGTTTCGAAGAAAAATTGGAAAAAAGAATAGAAAAGAGCAAAAATGAAGCAAATTCAAAGTTCGAAGACTAAAATGTAAATACTCAAAAATTATTTCGAACCTCACGAAGAATATTTGAGAGTGCTCGGGTCAATTGGATGAGTAAAGAAGTCAACGGGATGAATTATGGTCAAAGTATTATCATACATCAACTTTCAACCGAAAAAGTTATGCTTCAAATTTTCAGCCTCATATTAAGACCCAATTTTGGCATAACAAACATTTTGAACTGGAAAAATAATATATAAGAAGAATTGTAACCCTCTAAGTAATCTTTTGAACACACTTTGAATCACCTCAATTGAATATCAGAAAAGAAAGTTATAACAAAAATATTGAAAGTTGTTTGGTTGTCTAAAATTAAGCAAGACCCGTGCCCCAAAATAAAAAATGAGCAAATGAGGCACCCCAAGCTACCAAGCGCGTGCCCTAGTTTACACTAGGCACGTACTTCAGTGTTAAACCGCAAAAAAATATAGATTTCCTTATTTTATTTTGGTAAGTAACTGTTGGAAATAATACTGTGATTGAGGATATTACTCCTCAATCACAATCTTCCCATAGCATGCCAATGCCAATGCCAATCACGTAATTGAAGGAGGCTAATTTACACGATCTTCATTTCATTTACACGGTTTCCATTTCATTGTAAATTATTGATTTGTATTCCATTTATACTATCTTGTAAAGCTCTATATAATGCAATACGATACACCACTGAAATTAAGGTGGATTTTTAATCATTCTTATGCTATCAGAGCCAAGTGGTTTAACATACATACCACATATCCTGTTCTTCTTCTTCCCTTCATGGCTTCTGAAACTTCTGCCACCCTTCTTCCTTTCAATACCTTAATCCACATGATCACCATTAAACTTTCCTCCTCAAATTATTTTCTCTGGAAAGCCCAACTCCTCCCTCTTCTTGAAAGTCAAGAATTATTAGGACATGTTGATGGCACCCTTGTGCAGCCCCCAAAACTTGACGCTACCACTTCTCTCACGCCAAGTGACAAATACCTAGCATGGAAAGCTATTGATCAGCGTCTCCTCAGTTTGTTACTTTCCTCCCTCACAAAGGAAGCCATGGCTGAGGTAGTTGGTCTCTCCACCGCACGAGACGTGTGGCTGGCACTAGAAAATGCATTTAGCCATTGTTCTAAAGCTTGAGAACTACACCTTAAGGATGACTTGCAATTAATGAAACGCGGCAATAGATCGGTTGTTGAGTATGCCCATTCCTTCAAAGAAATTTGTGATCAACTACATGCAATTGGTTGTCCAGTTGATGGTACTGACAAGGTGCACTGGTTTCTCCGCGGGCTCAGTAGGAGATGTGTGAGCCAGATGAGTTCAGTGGCAGTGGAGTCAAGGGCACGATACTCAGATTCACAGCTGGAACGAGAGACAGTCGGCTGTTTCTTGGAACTCCAGGAAACTAAATTGTCGCCAAGATAGATAGAATAACCAGAGGTCGAACGACGAGTATCCGGGCAGCCGGCCCAATCAGCATCAGAATAGGCTACAAGAGCACCAGGAGAAGTGGAAGGGCAAAAATGTAGGCCATAGTGAATGGTGCCTTTAACATAGCGGAGGATGCGTTTAACAGTCAGAAAGTGATCATCAGTGGAAGCGTGTAAGAATTGACTGACATAGTTGACAGCATGAGCAATGTCGGGCCTTGTGATAGTCAAGTACTGTACTGCACCGACGAGGGATCTATAGAGAGTAGGGTCTGAAAACAGAGAACCATCAGCAGAAAGATGTTGAGAACCAACCATGGGCGTGTGAATAGGTTTACTGTCAAATAATTGAGCTCGAGTAAGAATGTCCCGTGCATATTTGAGTTGACTGATGAAGAGACCATCAGAAGTTGGAGTGGCTTCAAGACCAAGAAAATAGCTGAGAGAGCCTAAGTCTTTAGTGGCAAACTCAGAGTTAAGTGTACGAGTGAAGCGGGCAAGAAGTGAAGACTTATTGCCTATAATAATGATATCATCAACATAAAGAAGTAAATAGATAATATCGGACTTCTGATGAAAGACAAATAGAGATGTGTCCGCACGGC